GCAGACGTTGCAGTGAGTCAAGATCGTGCCACTGCACTCCAGCATGGGTGACAGAGCAAGACTCTGTCCCCCGCAAAAAAAAAAAAAAAAAAAAAGACTAGTTATTTACATCATTACATCATTAACCTTATTTGTATTACATAATACACTTCAAATCTTAATTTCTCCTCTTTGCTGGAAAATAGTAGTATATATGGAGATAATATATTTTTTTGCATTTAAAGTAAGTAATTTATGGGAGATGTAAATGTACCTTCACTTCTACAGTTTTCAAATAAGAAATTAGTAATACAGTTCAATAATATTTCCTTTTCAGGAAAGAATTTATCATATATTTTTAATCATAATTTCTTACATTGTTTTAAATAATAATTCCTTACATTATAATATAATGTGTAGATATTAAGTAGATGTTCATGAAATGACAAACAGAAAAGGAATAAAAAGGCAAAAATTTATAAAACAATGAGCTCAAGAAAGGAGTATGTATTAGGGCCAATATTAGCCTATTTATCACCTTTGCGTGAACTGGAATAAAATACCCTCTCTGCTGCATGGATGTGGCTCTACAGACACACAGCTGAGCCAGAGAATATGAATTTGGTTTTAATCTTCAACTGTCACTTTGGCCTGGTGCTCTTGGGGAAGACACAACTTAATCTCCACTCATGGTGGCCCTGGCATAGAGGTTACATGCATAATGAAAATCTCACACAAATACGTATTGGAAACCAAAATTTGCAAGGCACCACTTTAGGCTCAATGGAGGGTACAAAGATGCACTTTAGGCTCAATGGAGGGTACAAAGATGAGTAAGCCATGGTTCCTACATCATGGAATTTAGATTCTGGACAAAGATTAAAAGGTTAAGATATAGCTGGGCACAGTGGCTCACACCTGTAATCCCAGCACTTTGGGAGGCCAAGGTGGGCGGATCACGAGGTCAGGAGATCGAGACTATCCTGGCTAACATGGTGAAACCCCATCTCTACTGAAAATACAAAAAATTAGCCGGGCATGGTGGCAGGCGCCTGTAGTCTCAGCTATTCGGGAGGCTGAGGCAGGAGAATGGCGTGAACCCAGGATGTGGAGCTTTCAGTGAGCCAAGATTGCGCCACCGCACTCCAGCCTGGGGGACAGAGCGAGACTCCATCTCACAAAAAAAAAAAAAAAAAAAAAAAGGTTAGGATGGCAATGATAATCCCATTGGGGGTGTATACTTTAGAATTCCTATAATTTGTAAATAATGCATCTTTCAAACTTCATTGTTTGAAATTATTGAAAATAACACCAGTGATTTTTATTAGTTGACATCAAGGAGTTTCAAGTATGTTGTCTTTCTTTGATCCTATGGCTCTGGGAAAGGCTGCACGAGCCTTTTACACATGGGAAGTGGGAGGATATGTATAAATGTGGTTAGGTATAATGGGAGTATGTATGATGTCCATGATCTTTGGTTTCTTTTTCAATAAATGTATCTCTCAGGGCACCAGGTTTACTTCCCTATGAACCTTTCACTATGGTGGCAGTAAAGATGCTCAAGGAAGAAGCCTCGGCAGATATGCAAGCGGATTTTCAGAGGGAGGCAGCCCTCATGGCAGAATTTGACAACCCTAACATTGTGAAGCTCTTAGGTATGAAAATACAAGTGAGGATATGCATTTCATCAGAAAACAGAGGATTTCCAAGTTTTCTTCCCTTGTGTATGCTTTTTCCTTTTCTCCTTGATCAGTGAGACATTTCTGTTCCATTTCAAAGTTAGCTTCTTCACCTTGGTCTATCCCAACCCTATAGGACGTTCATGGCTTAATGGATTATCCCTCTTTACACTCATCACTTCAATTTGTCTCTGTCTTTGCTGCCTCCTTACTATTTACAAAAATGTTTAAAATGTCCCCATTGTAAAAAATTAATACTGCTTCTCCATCACAAAATGTGTCAATATTGAAGAGTCTATATATTTTACTTATTTTGTTTCTCCTCTTTCTTCCCTAACTAGAATGTCATGAGCAGTGATTTGTATCTTTCTATTCATTGTTGAGTTCCAGTTTATTCCCAGATTCATAAATTCAACACAAAATTTTACAAATATTTAGCTTGTATTACTTATACAGCAATGAATAAAACTTTCAAAAATCTGTGCTCTTGGCTGGGAGCAGTGGCTCAAGCCTGCAATCTCAGCACTTTGGGAGTCTGAGGCAGGTGGATCACTTGAGGTCAGGAGTTTGACACCAGCCTGACCAACATGGTGAA